CAACCTGCAATTTCGATGTTGGGATCTTCATATTAGTACAGTCAGGGACAATCTGTATATTGCCGGGCTAAGGGTACCTAGTAAAAAAACCATAAAAAGGCGTTCAAAGCATGTGATGCATTTTTACTGATACGTCAAATAAAAATGGCGTCAAGTAAGTCGACCCTGCACTTCCTACTTAAAGCTGTCATCGATTCATAGATGATTATATTAGGCACAACTTAGTTCCTCTTCGAAAAAAGTGGGCTACAAATATCTATGATAAAGGATCTAGATGGATCGTGTCAATTAGTCCATAGTCCCCACAGATTTGACAACATTGCGATATAGCCTACCGCCATAATCACAGTACCGACCATCCAGCAACGTGACAACCCATCACGGCGTTGCATACACCAACATACGAATCATCATTCAGTTATCCCTCAGCATTCTAAGCAGACAGACGTACGCCCGGTACGCGTATATCCAAAATAATACATAGAAATTCGAGTATCAAGGTCAACAGTATAGGGAAACCTATGATGTATGAAGTATGTGCGCAGACTCACACTCTCCTCCTCCAACTACAACCACCAACATTCAATCCTTATGCGTTATACCTATAATGATTGTATTGAACCCTTGTATTAATTTGGGTTGATTGTGTGGGCTTTATAATATATTGTTTTGAGTAATACTCACATGTACTGTAGTTTTTAATTGCATATCTTAATTCCTCTCTTGACCATTGGAGTCATTTCTCTTTTTGGTATTAAATACGAAATTCGAATATTCTCGTATGGCATTGCGTCTTAAATTTGTAACAGTGGAATTTCACATGATCTTGGATTAATTATACTTCAATATAACTTGTAACCCATAATACTCTCATTTTAATGCACATATCGTTATTCTCTTTTGACTGACTATAGATTTTAACTTATAGTATATTGATTTTAAGAAACTTTCTGTTTCCATTGAATCTTCCCCGCTACTATTGCACCTTGATTGGTCGCTGAAGGGCTGATATAAATGATTGTACTTATTTATACCGGGTGTTTCAACTTCGTCTCTTAGCATAAGGATCTCGGGAACAGTAAGAGATACGCCATAGCTCAAATACGGAGTAAGTTGCGTATTCAGGTAATTAACAAAACGCCGCTTAGAACGCGTCCGAAAAAATTGAATCTTTACAAAATCATTACAATTTTTTCCTGACTTTATTTGTAGAATTTCAAAATATATGGCACATTAATACTGCCACGTTTCCTCTAAAAGATTGCATCTTCAGAATTTTAATATGACTTTTCATTTCTTGTCCTCCAGCATCAACTTAATTTTTTCTCGAGTGCGCCATATTGGATTTTGGCGCAGTTGAATATAGTAATTGTGATTCCAAAAATTGATAATATGTCATACATCACATTGCCAAACCTTAGTTATTCCAGTAAAACAGAATTTTCTAGATAGGCCTTAAAATTATCATTTGCTTCGTATATCAACCAGACTTGCCCTTCAATCATATTTGTCAGAGCAACAACTCACTTGGCATCGGTGTGCAATTAGAGTTGTCCTGATATCGATCTTCAATATAAAATTGTACAATGCCCGGAAATACGATCAATGGGGAAGGCCGACAGCTCGTGCTAAATTTATTAGACTATTTCCAGAAATACATGACATTGCCAAACCTTAGTTATTCCAGTAAAACAGAATTTCCTAGTTAGGCCTTAAACTTATCAACCTCAAACTTACTTGACATCGGTGTGCAATTAGGGTTGTCCTGTTATCCATCCTCAGTATGAAGTTGTACATGCCCGGAAATACGATCAATGGAGAAGGCCGACAGCTCGTGCTAAATTTATTAGAGTATTTCCAGGAAGAGAATGAACACAGCGGTCCCCTGTTACTCACTTCATGCGTACTGGAGAGAGTAGCAGATGCGCAGTGTTAACTTATTTCATATGGCGTTGATGACTTAACCGCCAAGAACGGTGACTACAACTATAAAAGAGCTCTGCCTCATTGGGACGCCATGGCGACGTCGCCGGTTACGTATCCAAACAGTTCATATTGGAATGTATTAACTCACTTGGCGACGGTGTGGCGATGTCGCCAAGATGGAAGCGTGGCCACAAACTACAGCTCCCTACGTGGCGACTGGCTACTCTGGCGCCGTGGCGTCGTCGCCATCATATTGTACACATGTTAGCTGTACCTCGCTCACTCAGTCGTCAGTCAGCCGCCACTTTGGACGCTCGCTCGGAATAGTAGTTGATAGTTGATGTGAAAAATGAGTTTCGATACTGAAAAATTTATAATAGAAATTCAAAACCGGCCTTGCTTATGGGATAGTTCATCAAATGATTATTGCGACCGTAACTTGAAAATTAAAGGTTGGGACGAAATAGTAAACATATTTAAAGAAAAAGACGATATGACAAACCAAGAAAAAAAACAACTAGGTGAATAAATGTCGGTACATTTATTAACTTTCATTTATACATACTTGTCTTGCCATGGTAATGGGTTTTCAGTAACAAAATAATCTGCTAATTTGTCTCTAACTGTGAGTGCCGTTCTTCCTCCTCTATCGCGATTTCGACTTGTACCTGCTTCAAGTCCTGTTACCGTTAGAGTATCTTCGTAAGAATAGCCATCTCTTGAACGTACAAAATTGTGCAATATGCAACATGTCCTTACAATCGCTTTTGCCAAATCTATATGTACATTCATGCGCTTGTGAAAAATCCTCCACTTGTTAGATAAAATCCCAAATGTACATTCGATATATCGGCGTGCTCTTGATAATCGGTAGTTGAAAATTTTTTGCTTGTAACTAAGATTGTATCCTCCATATGGTCTCACGAGGTTTTCATGTAACGCAAAAGCTTCATCTCCCACTATTACGTATGGAACATTGTCACCGTTTTCTGTCAATGGGTTTGCCGCAGGAACAGGTAAAGATTGGTTAATGAGATTATTATATAAAGCACTATCTTTATAAATTGCTGAATCGCTGCTTTTTCCATACGCTCCAACGTCTATATAAAGAAAATTGTAGTTAGCGTCACACAGAGCAAGTAGTACAATTGAAAAATAATGCTTGTAGTTGATATATAGTGATCCAGTATGCATCGGTTTTATTACTCATGTGTTTCCCGTCAATGGCGCCGATGCAATGAGGGAAGTTTGCGATTGTTTCAAATCCTCTTGCAACTTTTTCCCAATCATTTTCTGTCTTTGGAAGACCTATAAGCTGTTCCCGATATTGACATATAACGCTACATACTTCTCTAATTATTGTGCAAATTGTTGTATGACCGAGTCTGTAGTTGTAGTAAAGTTCCATGAGTGAACATCCTGACGCAAAATACCTAAAAAAAAATATAACATTATTATTGGACTGCAATAGGCTGACTGATTGATTGATGAATGGATATATTAAACTTATTCATTTTTTTCAGCTGATACTTTGCAAAAAAGGTGGAAAAGTATTCGTGGTTGCTTCACACGAGAGCTGAACCGGCAAAAATCTTTGAAGTCTGGGTCTGGTCGTGGACCACGTAAAAGCGAATATATATTTTTTAAGCAACTGCTTTTTCTCCAGAAGGTGGTCGCGTTAAGAGAGTCTGAGGTCGAAGAAAAATCAAAAGAGTCAGATCCTGATGTTGAAGCTACAAATCCTGATACTGAACAAGACTTGCAACAAGGCAGTCAAGCTTTAAGTTGTCCGAAAAGAATGAAAACCAAAAAGAATAATGCACCTGAAGATGACAAATTTTTAGAAGCCCTTAACAAATCCATCAAAAGTAGAGAACAATATGAGGTTGAGAATCAAGATGACGACAGGTTATTCATGCTGTCTTTAGTTAGCACCTTAAAAAACGTGCCTCCTCAAAAAAAAATGGCAACTAAAATGAAAATAATGTCAATTCTTGATGAAGCAACCCGCCCTGTGCTCAACATTGATGATAGTACATTATACCGTCAAAACTACTGGTCACAAACAGAATCGTCGTCGTCACAAAGTTATCAGCCTGGATATTCTACTATTCCTAGAGAAACCCAACCCATGATAAACAGCACTGAGTATTTATCTAGTGAACCGTTTAGTGCACCACCGTCAAATATGACAAATGTTTCAGAAGATTCCTCCATTTTAGATGTATATGATTAACTTTAGATGTTTCATTCTTGAAAATTTGAATAAAAAACTGCTTACCTCAATGACACAAATAGTTTTTCTTCCGCACTAATCGATTTTCTAAATATCGTATCCTGTTTAGTTAAATCGTTTCTACATAAGTTTAATAATTCGTCAAAAGATGCTATTGATATTCTTGTGTAATTGAAAAACTTTTCAGGATATTTTCGTAAATCACCATACAGTTTAAAAAAAAATGCCACTTCGGTTTCGATCAGATATAAAAGGATGAACCCATACTTTCTTTTTTTTCTTTTCTTTTTTCATTTTTCTGCGACGTATATAACAAAGAAGTGCAATTTCTTCTGCGTCCATTCTTGAGAGATGACACGAACTGACTGTCGAGATGCCATGGCTACTCGCCTTGGCGACCCTCGGATGCCACAAGTAGCCAGGCCTGCGTCGCCGGCGACGTCGCCATGGCGTCCCAATGAGGCAGAGCTCTAACAGAGTTTGGATGACTAACAGCTCGTTCAGACGACTCGGTCACGATCATTTAATCGAACCGGTAAAAGTATCGAATCTCGCAGTGGCGCAATATTTTAAATCTGCATATTCACACGATGCGGTCGTACCCCATATACGGGAAAACTGCCGATTCGTTCGGACTTGCATTCGGTTCGCGCCACTGGCAACCGTATGGTCGCATGCGGTTGTGTTCGGGAAAAAAACCGAATCGGCCTTCAGTGGCACGTACAATGTATATTGGCCATTTCACCTCCAGTCGCGATTCGATTATCTTGCCGAACGGCACTTGTTTTCGGCTTTAAATAGTTTGCTCATATTTATGGTATATACCTACATATATACAATGGAGAAAATAAATACGGAGCTGTTGATAAGTTTAGTGGAAGCGAGACCCGCTTTATGGGATAAAACACTTGACACATATAAAGACAAAAATTTAAAGTCGTCAGCATGGAGAGAGATATGTTCTCTGTTAAAGGAGAATTTCGAAGATATGGAACAAAAGGAGAGGCAGGCTTTTGGTAAGTATTTTATTGTTTATTTTGACATACATAAATTTACTAACCGATGGCTTCATCTTGCCAAGAAACAGAACCAGCTTCTGTTAGAAAATAGTCAGCAAAAGTTGTTCTTATGGAATTGGCAGATAGTCCTCCTCGTATATTTTGTGCTTTTGGTAAGTTGTCAAGGTGGATTTCTGGCAAATGAGCGTTTTCAAAATTAAACCCGTCTTTTTCTCGGACAAAATTATGTAACACAGTACACGCTTTTACTATCCATATTGCTGTTTCTAGTTTAACATCTAGAGGACGATGAAATATCCTCCATCTATTAGCTAAGATGCCAAATGCACATTCAACATATCTTCTAGCGCGAGTAAGTCGGTAATTAAATATTCGCTTTTTCTTGTCTAAATGTGTACCGCCAAAAGGCCTTAATAAATTGTCATGCAATCCGAAACCTTCATCGCCAATAAACACAAAGGGTACATTTATTTGTGTCTGTTCTAAAGGTCTGGGTGTTGGTATGTTTAAAGCGCCCTGTGTCAACTTTTTCCACAATGTAGATTCTTTCCAGATTGACGAATCACAATCTTTTCCATAGGACCCTATATTCACGTATATAAAACGATATTCTGAATCTACGACTGCTAATAAAACAATAGAGAAGTAATCTTTGTAGTTGAAGTACATAGAGCCAGTGTTATCGGGTTTTCTCAGTCTTATATGTTTCCCGTCTACCGCACCGAGGCAATGCGGGAAATTCGTTTTCATCCAGAATCCATTCGCTATTTCCTCCCATTTATCTGGCGTATCAGGGCATGCCATAAATTTAGTACCCATATTATTCCATATACTCCGAGTAACTTCTCTCACAATATTGCTAATTGTTGAGACACCAACTCGGTAGGAGTAATGCAGATCTTTATACGAACACCCAGATGCTAGATACCTGAAAGGAAGGAACGTTTTATTTTATTTGTTCCAGGTAAGCTGATTTTAAAAAAGTGGACATACATTCGAGACTCGTGGATGAAAGCATTGAAAAAACATAAAGACCAAAAAACAAGTGGCACATCGACCAAACCTTCAAGACTTTATATATATAATGAGCAGATGTCATTCCTGAAAAAAATTACAGATTCAACTGTTTGTCATGAAAACACTAATAATGAAAATAACACCGAGATAGAAGACTTGGATGCAGAAGTTATTGAAGAGAGTGTTCCACCTGAACAACCGAATATGGAAGCAAATCAGTCTGGTAGTACTCCCATCAGTACTTCTACTGCACGCAGAAAGAGGAGTATTAATGAAGTTGATGCCAAAATGATGCGATTCATAGACCATCAAATCAACTTATCCAAGGTTTCAACAGTCAAAGAGGATGAAAATCGTCATCTTACATTCTTCAAAAGTCTTCTTCCATCATTATCATCGTTTGATGAAGATGAAACTTTGGAATTTCAGTCGAGTGTGTTAAGTTTATTGCAAAATATGAGAGCAAAGAAGCGAAGGTTGGCCGATAATATTCAAATGCCATCGCGTACAATTGCCACTTATTACAATAATTGGCAAAATCATGATTATTACAGTCAGCCACAGCCACAAACAATTTCAAGAGTAACAACACCAATGACTAGTCCATATACTGCCGAACCGTCACCCTCTACACAGTCTGTTGCAAGCCAAGATTCTATTTTAGATCTAGATATTTCCAATTTTTGATTTGTTTATTTGTATATAAAATAAAGTTTTTAAAAAATGACACCTACCTTAAGCATATCACCAATTTTTCCTCAGCACTGATACATGTTCTCATATTTGTGTCTTCTCGAGTTAAGTCTTTTTTCATTCTATTAAGTAGGTCATCAAACGTAGAGGAAGACATCCGAAAATAATTGAAAAATTTAATTTCATCTCTTCTTAATTGACACATAAGTGTCCGGAAGGACCCCAAATTAAATCTTTCTCTAATAATAGGGTGTTCCCAATATCTCCTTATTACTCGTTTTTTACAGAGTCTACGATACCAATACATTAAAACCAACATATTTGCATTCATTGTGCCAAACTCAATCAACAACTAACAAGAAGCGTATCCGCGCAAAAATATTATACCGCATCGTGTGAACACTGGACCCGATTCGGTTAAAATGTCGTTTCGGTTAAATTCCCGTGCCGTACCGTATCGTGTGAACGAGTTGTAAGAGGAAGAGAAATAAATCGAACAGTGAACAATGTAAAGCGAAGAGTCAGGCTTCGCCTACAAAATAACGGACAACATTTTTAGCATGTACTATGATTTACCCCTGCTTATCTATGATCATTATTGTAATTACCGTCATTTTTTGTTCAGGTTTCACTATACCTTTTAGTTCCTTATAGTGTTTCATTCTAGCGACAAAATCCTAACCAACTAAGAAATCCCATCTAAGATAAATTCGGAAAAAATGGAAATAATATGGGATATCATACAATATTGGAATCAGAATAAAAAATTCTATTGATCTGTGCAAAAATGCAAAGTGACGTCCATAATAAAATATGAACTTAATGTTGGAGGACCAGAGACGAGACGTCATATTGAAATTCCAGTTTCGCCAATCTGAGGAGGAAAGAGGAGAAAAAGTGGCAATGCCAATGTGCATTTTATTTTGAAATCCCACTACAAATAAAATCAGGAAACCCGAAAAAAATTTTGGAAAATTTCTGTTTTTTTTGGTCCCTCTTCGGAAGTAATTTAAATTTCAAAATTTTCTAACTGGCATGTTGTTATTTACCTAAATAAGCAACTTTGCCTCCATTTAAGAAACATTGTATCTCTTACAGTTATAGAGATCCCAATAGTGAGTGTCGAATTTGAGAGACCCGGTATGAGGCAAGAACTATTTTTTTGGACTTGAAAACGTAGAAAATATTCCTATCACTTTTACTAACAGTCATCCATCGAAAAATTATACACGTAGATAACGTTCTGTAAACTTTTTCTCCCTGAAGGCACGAATGTGCTAATGTGCTTGTATTGGTGATTTGTAGTGAATTTTTCTCTGACCATTTTTGATTTCACCCATTGTACATACTACCTACGCTGGTGGTCACAAACCTTGCAAATTGATTTGGGCTTTATCGGGCCCATAGCAAGGAAGTGATATTCTTTTGCTGTGGACATCAGCAATCTTTCTCCTAGGTACTGTCCACGATTCTGTGACAATATCCTTTTCTTGTATATTTATCATTAACCTAATATGGCTATTTTGGTATCCAACAATAGCTGACTATGTAGTGCATGCAGAACAGCCGTAGTTGCAGGTCTTCTTAGGGAATCGGCACGTAGACATAACGAACTATTCTGTGGAAGCTATAGCACAAATTAAACTGGCTCCGTAATTATAATTTCCAACTATTCCGCCATCTCAATTATCAGAAGGAGAACGTGCACCACGCTCTCCCATATGAATATATAAAATCTACCAGTAATGAATTACTCCAGTCACTAGGGTAGGAGGTTAGTCTAATGCATATTTAAATTAAGCGGTACAAAATCATACGAAAAATGTGAGGAAGAATGTAACTAACGTCTTCTGCTGATGCTTGGGTATCTTGGTACACGCTTTCCGAAAATCTTTATGTTTAGGGCTAGAATTTCTCAAACCAGCATATAACGAAAAATGTGAGTATCATTAAACGACAAGTGATTGGTTGAAAAAACGATATATATGGATCAACCGAAATACTAGGAACTAATAGTACGCTGCATACTACTATTCGTAGTCTATTTCCACCCGGCACAATAAAGATGCAGCGCGGCAAAGCCGCAGCCGCCTAACGCTCCTTTCACACGTAACGATTTTGGTCGTACGGAAAAAAGACGTACGGCCACATTCCTTTAGTGCATTAAAGAAATATACGAGATCTTTCATACAGCATGACAACGACATATTGTCGTGTCGTTGTCGTCCAGCTGCCGTTCAATGCCACTGCAATAGACGACGGTCGTGTCGTGTCGTGATAACAGTGGTAAACGGCATCAAATGAATGCTTTCACACATAACGAATTGTAGTCGTTTATACCTGTCGTATAGGGTGGATCCAGTAGCACGCAATTAGTTTATTAGCGAAATGGCTGAAAATATTGACGGTGAATTTCTGATTTCACTGGTCGAAGCTAGACCTGTGCTATGGGATAAAACCCTCGATATTTATAAAGACAGGAATGCAACAAGGAATGCCTGGCGTGAGATTCTCCTGGAAATAAAATCATATTTTGATGAGCTTGGAGATACAGAAAAAATGCATTTGGTAAGCGTAGCGATTTAATTTTATTTGTGATTAAGAATTAAATTATGAAATAATCGACGCTGATTAGGGACCTCAACTTGGGTAACAAAAATAACTAAACGTACTCGTAGTTACATACTATATATTGATTAGTTATGTATTTATTTATTATTGTTTTTCTTGGGAATAATTTCACGAACTGCTATCAGATGAAGAGTCATTATGTACTTATATTTTTGACATTTGCCACGGTACGCTTCCAATATTTGATACAAAATATGTACACAATATGTTCCTTACATTATTTGCGGATATACCCCCTCGTATTGCATGTTCTCGTGGTAGATCTTCCAAGCCTGTTATTGTAGTAATATCCTCCACCAAAAAACCATCTCTGTCGCGTACAAAATTATGTAACACAGTGCAAGCTTTGATAATATCCACTGCAAAATCTGGCTCTACAGGTCTGTGAAAGATTCGCCATTTATTGCTGAGGATACCGAAAGCGCATTCGACGTACCGTCGAGCTCGGCACAAGCGATAATTAAAAATTCTTTTCTCAGGTGTTAAATGTGTTCCCCCAAAAGGTCGTAATAAATGGCGATGTAGTCCAAATGCCAGTATGGAAGTTTGGGACTCTTCGTTCCTGGTAGACACTTGTCTTCCGGTAGTGGTTGTGTGTTGGATTCTATGGATTGCCATAGACTGGATCTTTTGAATGTTGACGAGTCACAGTCTTTACCATAGCTTCCAACGTTTACAAATACAAATCGGTATTTCGAATCCGCAACTGCCATTAAAACTACAGAATAGTAGTCTTTATAGTTAAAATACATCGACCCACTGCGAAATGGGCAAGTAAGACGTACATGTTTGCCATCTACTGCCCCTATGCAATGAGGGAAATTTGCAATGGTTTCAAAATCGGAAGCAATAGATTCCCAAATTTCTCTTGTTGGTGAAGGTATAGACTCCACCTGAAGAACCGCGCAGATTGCTTTGCAAACCTCTTTTACTATCTTACTTGCAGTAGAAATTCCAATTCGATAAGTGTAGTGTAGGTCAGTAAACGTACAGCTACTTGCCAGATATCTGAAAAGAATCATGTAGTTACATATTGCTTGTCACCAACTTGCGAACATTTTTGTATACAAATGTAATAGGAAAAAGTGGCCGGTCTGAAAATATTAGTGTTTATTATTTCATTATGAGACAGAAACGGTACAATTATATCAAAACCTTTTATTGTTTATTTATATATTTTAGGTAAGGACGTTGTAAGACGCTGGACAAATCTTCGAGATGCTTTCGCTAGGTCCAAAAGGAAATTAAAAGACAGTAAGAAAAGTGGAAAAGATGCAAAAAAACCCAAGAAATATGTATTTAATGATCAGCTTCAATTTTTACATAAATTGTACGAAGTTAGAGAAACAGTTGATAGTTTAGATGATGAAACAAGGCACGAGACTGATGACATGGAGGAAACTACTAGTATACACATTAATGAGCTAAATAAAGGAGTACATACAGTAAATTATAATAGAAACAGGAAGCATCGCAAACCTGATGAGGTTGAATTAAAAATTATGAAGGCATTGGAACCCGAAAAACCCAACAGCAAAATGTTTTTTTCCACAGCTTGTTGCCGCACCTAGACAGATTTGATGAAAATGAATTACTTCAATTCCAAATGGGCGTGTTGCAAGTGATTGCAAATATAAATGAAAAAAAGAAAGCGGTTCTTCAAGTTCCCCCAGCGTTTGTTCAGTCCATTCCTACACTCTATCACTCCCAACAGTTTCCGGTACAGCCTGCTTCTGGTTTTCCTCAACATTCTCCATTCACTCACTCACAGTCATTGACAGCACATTCTACACCATCCTTTACGCAACTTCTTCCTACTCAGCCTTCATTGACTAGTAATCAGTGTACGCAATCAGCACGACAGGATTATCAAGATTCCGGCCAGTCATCAGGAATGACCTCCCCAATGACGGATCCGAGGGAGAGCTCGACTCCACTTTCTCAGGACTCTTGCACAGTTGATAGTATAGATTTTACTACCCTCTAATGTATTTCGACTATTTTCATATTGTTAATAAATATAAAATATAAATATACCCATTCAATGAATTATTGTATGATCCAGTTTTCAAACGTGTAATTGTTAAAGCACACATGTACCTAATTCATAGACATATTTTGTAACTTACCTCAAAGTCACAGCCCACATTTCAATGGGTTGAATGCAATTTCTCATTTTTGTATTTTGACGTCGAAGAACATTCTTCAGTTTGTCATGTAATTCATCGAAGGAAGCCATTGACATGCGGAAATAATTAAAAAATTTCTTTTCGTCATTTCTTAGATCTTCAAAAAGTGTGTGAAATAAACCTGTTTCTTCTCTCCTTTCATTGATCGGATGGACCCAATGTAGGCGATTACGTTTCTACGACGATAAATTAACCAACACGCAACAATTTTTGCCCGATTCATTGCGACGCCCTATGCTCAAGATGTACACTAGACTAAAACAACGATAATATATCTTTGTGTGTGAAAGCAAGTCAGCTACGATAAAAAGTCGTACGTCTTTTTCCGTACGACCAAAATCGTTACGTGTGAAAGGAGCTTAAGCCTACTTGCACACACACCGATTTTGGACGGCCGGCACAATATCAACCGACTTTTTATCGGTAGGATCTGCTTACACACGGGCCGGTTTTTTATCGGTGCAGTGCTGATGTCCAATATTATTTTTAATGAATCCCCAACGAGTTGTTGCAATGTGGTTACTGTACTAGCGTATGAAGCGTTGGAGAATTAAGCGAAAGTTCTGGATTCATTTTTCTCTTTGGACTCCATTTCTTTAAAATCCTCATTCAGTTCGCAGCAAACTTGGCTCATCACATCGCGTTATCCATGGAAACAAATAAAATGTTGATCAGGTACAAACTGTCAAAATTAGCTTAGTGAGCATTATAATAAAAACGTGTTTGAAAATGAATTTTTCTAAAGAAGAAATGGTGAATATGGTGTTCGTTTTGGGCGAAGCCCAAAGAAATAGTTTCCTAACATCTCGCATGTATAAGCACCGTAATATGCGACATCCAAGGCCGGAATCATTTTTCACACTAAGAGAACCTTTTGAATCACGTGGAGCAGTGGAATATAGTAAAAAATGTATAAGTAATCCAAGTGTCACCAATGAGGCGAATGAGTTGGAGGTTCTATTATAGTTGCAGGAAAATCCCCATTTAAGTGCACGACAAATTGGAGTAGAAACTGATATATATATATATATATATATATATGCAGAACTTCTTTCCAATGGATTATTCACAAGCATAGGTACCATCCATATCACCTATGCTTGCATCAAGGTCTTCGTCCTCAGGATTTCGCAGCTCGAATGGAGTTTAGTAGAATAATGCTAAATAAAGTGAGTGAAGACACTACTATGCTGGATAAGGTTATTTTTAGCGATGAGGCAAGTTTTAACAGCATGGGTGTTGTCAACAGGCATAACATGCACTATTATGCGACGGAAGACCCTTACTGGGTTAGGCAAATACATTTCCAAAATAATGGAGCTTGAATGTTTGGGGAAGAGTTATTGGCAGACAAGTTATCGGGCCTTTCTTTTTCTCTAACAGATTAGCAGGTACAGAATACTTGAATTTTTTTATCGAGAATTTGTCTTTGCTTTTGGAGGATGTCAACCTGCAAACTCTGATGCATATGTACTTCCAACATGACGGCGTACCTACGCGTTATCATAATCGTGTGCGTAACTGTTGGGACACCTGGAATAACAATCGTTGGATCGGTCGTGATGGGCCTATATCTTGGCCTCCTAGATCACCAGTTATGACACAGATGGGCTTCTTTCTATGGGGCTACGTTAAGCCAGAGGTTTATTTTCTGAACATAAGGGAACACGTGTTGAGGCATGTGCTACGGTCATTTATTTAAATACTACGGCTGTGTATTCAACATGTTGGAGATATTTTCGAGCTGTTTTTGTAGATTAGGTCTTGAGTAGTGATAGTTGTTTATTTATGTTGTTGTTATAGTTGTTTTTCTCTATTACGTTTGAAACTGATTTATACTGTTCTGACTATTAGTTTTTACGTCAAATATGTACTCTTAGTGGCAATATGGAACTAGACCACTGTTTCTTTTTTGTTTCCATGGATGATATGATTTTTTTCCTTAATTTTGGTGTGTTGTTCTATTAAAAGCTTAATAACTCAAAATCTAGTGATTTTATCTGCATCAAACCTTATACCAAAAAAGCGTATAAACAATTGAATCCAAACTTGCACAAATATACAGGGTGATGCATTTGAAATTTTTGAGGAAAAGTACAATTCCCGTTTCTGACTACCCAGCATGAGCAAAAATGAACATTCGAAAAAGTAACAAATAAGATAAGAGCTGAGGTGTGTAAGTTTTTTTCGATATAAAATGCAGCACTCCGAATTTCAAAATGGCGGATTGAGGGGTTGCCGAAATGGACGGTTTTTCTGGACAAAACACCTTACATCTCAGTAGCTAATTACCAAACCCCCATAGTAGGTTATATCAATTTTCTTCTTTTGAATTGGTTAATTCAAATATGCAGTAAAATTTGAGGCATTCCATTTAAAAAATCAAAACTTTGATATGTAGGTCAAATGTATAATTGCCAATATTTCAGAAATGTGCCCTCAAATGTCATGTATAACATGCCATAAACAGATTTTCCCGAAATGTATTTTTATGAGTAATATTCCGTCCACACATGGATGGGCCATCCTGATATATTCCCGGTACCGGTGCATCACAGTGACAATGTCCAGCTGCTATCCGGCTTTTTTCCGGTGCCGGTCGGTGGTCGGTCAGTGTGCAAACTTCAATGCTCTCTAATGGTTTACAATTAAAATGTGGTCACCCGATATTTTACTGACCGTACAAAAGCGGTGTGTGTGCAAGTAGCCTAAGCGTTGCAATAACTATTGGTCATTCGGCCATAAGACTACGAACAAGTGCAGGATTCGACAGGATAAAACTCAGGCTTGGGGTATCGCCGGAAGTTGCTGTTCAAATTCGGTGAATACATACCAACTTTCTTTCTAGTGATTATTTTAATTACAGAGCTGTCTAATGCAATAAATTCATCTTCAGACCCCATGTTGATGCAAAGACCACGCTGGAACTGACAAGAATCAGGTTTTATTTGCTTTTTTCTCGTCAGCACTGTGTTCATGACCAGTGCCGAAAATCGGTACCGATCGGCGCTGGTTGCCGGTAAGCAGGAAACTAGCTTCCAGTGTTTTCGACCTATGTTAGAAACAGTGCGCCGATGGCATCCGAGGCCTCGTCACTCGGGTTGCTATTCTCGATACTTGATTTTTCCTAACCTTAAATTACTTATTTGACTAATCCTCTGTGTAAGTTGACATGGTTGCCAGTTATAAAGGCAGTCTAGTCTCGATGAAGCTACCAGGCCATGTTCTTCCAAAACGAATGAAGCATCTATAAAATAGTTTATCGGATGAAAGAAGTTGATTTTCTGTGATTAATTGGTATTTGTGAATAGGACTACTTCTCGTGTGGGCGACATCGACATTCTGACCCATATTCTGAGGGCGTTCAGCATGAACAAATTCATCGAAATTGTAATTACAAAAGTGATTTTAGTCAAAATATCACATCAGTAATCATCTTTGAAGTCTTACCGGATATTTCCTTATGACTATTTTGAGTAGTATACTGACTATATAGGCCTTTCCTTCAGCTACAGCGACCGGAGTAGATCGTCGTGTTTCTCAAAGGCTGCAAAGCAGAGACCTCGGTTTCCATACCAAGCGTGCACTATCCCCGTCTTATTCCATAAATTTAATATGAACCGAGTTTTCTTCGTACGCCAAATCGGACTCTAATGAGTCGCATTGAGACATTTTGATGCCTTTCTAACGACCCGGATAAGCTTTTGGAATTATCGTCACGCGCCAAGTCATTCAAATTTCAACCCCTTTTGGTTTGACTCCCTATTTCACCTTTACGACCTTCTTGTCAGGAGGAAGAGAAAACAGGAGCATCGTGAGCAAATATAATCATATTTCTTCTAGATTCACATTCTTGTAAAGATCAACATATCGCCTTCTATAAACCGGTCAGACTTAGATTTTTCGTTCATTTTAAATAACAAAGGCTTAATGAACCTTATTATTGTATTCCGGTTAAAGGAAAATTTGTATGAATGTTAAAGTGGCTATTAGAGACATAATCATCATCACCAAATGGTGACTTTTTAAGGACGTTCAAGCGTTGTTTATACGCCAGGTAAGGATAAAGTAGGTTTTATGTGATTTTCTTCACCCAACCCATAACCTGAAATTTATAAACAGTGCACCTTAACCTTTACAGTTTTATGTACTGGCATAACTCCGATAAATACGTACCATAAACTTGGGTTACTTTGGTCCACTTTTGAACTTTACACTGTGATAAGTTTTATACCACATGATAATTATTTTTTTTCCAGTCGCGTTTTATGGGCTTGTATTAGTACTTTGAACTTTGAAATGGAGAAGGAGCCAATCAGATTCTAAATATATACATTTTTTAAAAACCTGGGTAGCCAAAGTCATATGACGAAGTTGGCTTACTTTGACAACATGTTGTTTTATTTAGAAAACGCAAATACACGCCATAAAAAATACTTATGACATATATTTTTTTTCTTATTTATAAAATTTGTACACAGATGTAAAAAAGTGTTTTAAACTAAATTTAAATGCAAACAAGGTAAGTAACAAATCCTTTAACAAAATTAAAAAAAAACAGATTCTTTGGTAAAATCAAAAATAAACACACAAATTCTTTGGTAAAATAAAAAAAAATCTTTGACAGGGAAATTAATAATAAAAAATAACACGGTTAACCTAAATTATAATTGTCCACTTCTGGAATTTTAAAGAAATCTAGGCGTAAAATGCTCTTTTCTGCTGTTATGTTGAGCTTTTTTTTCCTTGTAGTTTATTCTGCTGGACCGGAAAATCTTCTTTCTTCAAGTAGTTCGTTGACACCCGCACTAACATTTGTCTGGATATATTGTCATATCGATATTATCATTTGATGGTATACGCTCCAATATTTTCATTCGGTTTAGAGGGTAAATTCCTGCCTTTTCGAAACCGCTTATTAAATTATCTTCTCCTGATACTAATAATAGCTTTGTCACTAATTTAAGCAAATGCGGAAAATCTGATTTTGGAATTGTTTTATTTGCTCCACTAAGTTTGTAATCCGTTATGATTTGCCTCCATTTCATTTTAAGCGGCCGAAAATATGCGATGTCAAGTGGCTGACTGAGATGTGTGGTGTTAGGTGGTAAACAAATGAATTTTATCTCATATTGGGAACATAGGTTTATGACATGCACACTTAGATGCGAAGAGAGGTTATTGCCAGTCAGCACTTTGGGTGCCTCTAAACGCTTTAAAGCAGGAAGAACTAAATGTTCAAACCAGTTTTCGAATATATGGCCCTCAAACCACCCGCTTTTTGAGCGATTATAACGTGTTCCATATGGTCCTCCCTCCATCCAGGTATCATACATAGTTTTTGCCTTATAAACAACATAAGGTGGCAAAACTGTGCCAACAGCATTTCCACAAAACATTACACTTGTAGATTATTTGGACGAGTTCAGGATGCACTCAGGATATTTGCAGCCCCGTTTTGTTAAGACTTTTTTATTACCTGGGTCATCGGATAGGAAGGACTCATCGTAATTCCAAATATTTTTGGTGGAATCCCCCTTAATTCCTCTTCTAAGTGGTCCGGCCCGAACGGATTTTATATATTTGCAACAAACCTTTGTGTCACTGCTGGATGTCTTTAAAAATAGTCTTAGCCATTCACTACTAGGAAGATTATTTGTAAATCTGCTTGTAACTACACCCCTTCGATCTAGATAGCACTTCACAAGTTTTCTTAAATCTAGGGAATCTAGAGGAAAACTATATGACGATGTTAATAATAGACACTGACTACACGGTCTGGCCACCTGCAGGTCTATTGTGCACTCCCTTCAGCTTATTCTGCAATGTCGCTCGAAGTATTTTGGATCTCGTAGAATATTGTCTTTGTGACATTACACCCGATCTAATCAGTCGAAGTGCCTCTTCTAGTTGTTCTGTGGTATAATTGCTGTAATTCTTGCTTCCTATGACTCTTTTGTAGCGACCCATTTTCCCTAGAAATGAATCTGACCTGCTAAGTTTATCACGAAAAACACACACTTGTTACCGGTCGAAAACAACGCAAACATGTGATGGCTAAAGTCACACCAATACTAACGAATAATGTATTGGGCGACATTGGCCGCCCTCTAGCGGCACCCCCGGAAAGTTCAAGTTTGTTCACTTGGCTCATAACGTTTCCTAAAGGTTGTATGATAGTATATTTTTGCATGAAAGTCATAGATGTCGCCTCATTGTCAAGCTGCGCAAAAGGTTTTGACGTAAAAAAATCAGGTTTTTATAAATTTTCCTATTTAATTTTTTTCAAATACTTAAAATCAAATTATATTACGTATACATTTTGTTCGAGTCCATTATAATCTATAGAATCATTAAAAAATGCTACTCCGCGAATAAGTATTATTATAATATTATATAATAACACAAATATTGTCAACCCTGATTGCCAAAGCCACCCAAGTTTACGGTACATACTTAATTCGATATTGTCCGACCTACGACACTTTTAGTAGAAGATCCGATATACAAAGGATAAATTGTCTCACTTTCTATCATTCTACTTGCGGTTGTTGACTGGTCACAGTAAAACTGATAATATCGGTTTCATATGTCCATCTTTCTCCTACATGCACAAGTATATCTTTGAGGGTGGACGTTTGTTCATGTTTGTGCTAAAATGAGAGTATTATTAGGGAGAAAATACAAATAAATGTACAAATTTAACTTCCCTAAGTTAGAATGGATAAACTACATTCATGACAGTCAGTCGATCTGTTTCCTTATTTCCGATAGCATTGATGACGTACCGACAGACGGTGAAAAGAATTATACCGGTTGTTTTAAATTCGACCCTCACCATTGGGATCTCGGAAACGTTAAGAGATACGAAGTTGCTTCAATGGGATCAAAGTTGCGTATTTAGATACCTAACAAAATGCCGCTCAGAAAGTTTCAAGTTTCAAAGTACTTCCGGAGAGACGGAAAAATAGTATTATTGCAAAATCGTTTTAATTTTGTCTTGATTTTTTTGTAGTGATATTTCAAAGTAAGTTTCACACTAACATTGTCACTTTTTATCCTCTATAAGACGGTTAAATTAGAATTTCAATATGTCGTCTCGTCTTTTGTCCTCCAGCATCAACTTTATTTTTTTCTTAAGGACGCCATATTGGATTTTTGCATAGCTAGAGTTCTTAATTCTGATTTCTGAAAAATTTAGGTGCGGTAAGTGATGAAAATGGTATACAAGATATTTCTGCTATGGAAAAACGGTATCAAGGTAAACTGAGTGTCAATTTGCTTGCTGATTATTGCTGGACATTGTTAAGAGATACTTCTGGAGCAACACATCGCCGTAAAACATCGACAACAACATTAAGATTAATGTTTATTCGAGTGTTTATTAGTATCTTACACACATATACTTATACGTATTTTACGAGTATAATCAGCAAATAAAATGCCTTATTGCAAGAAAGCCGTGGGTGATAGAAAAAATCGAATGATATTTCCGGCTTTTTGGGTACTTTTTACATAATAACCACCTTGTTTTGTCCATGTCACAAAAAATTATTTTAAATTTGTTCATCAGTGTTGTCAGATGGTCATTTGCTTCATATACCTACCACAATGAAATTGAAAACTTTCTAAGCATTTTGTTAGATACCTAAATACGCGAATTTTCCCCCATTCAAGCGACTTCGTATCTCTTACCGACTCAATGGTGAAGGTTGAATTCAAAACACCCGAATTGTATTAAGTGACATGCAGACAGGAGCTCTCCGTAATAATGAATTTATTACAAAGACATTCTAGGTATACGTGGTTTGTTTAGGTCAGGACCAAAAACGATCAGTTTTTCAACCATATCGATAAATCGGTTTTTCTTAAAATAATGCAACTACTTGCTTCTATTGGCATTGTGCTGTTCAAAAATCAGAACAACAAAATGGCTTCCTTATAAATACCGCTGTGTATTTCGGTATCTAGGTTCCGGATTCGCGGCAGCTCCATAGTGTGAAGTTAAAGGAAATATATTAGGACTTGTGAGGTGTTGTTTCTCCATACTGGTGTATTTATTTGTGTAAAATCCTAACATGATCCCAGATTATTCTGTGGTGCCTTGTACAAGCGTGACCTGCTATCCCAGATTTATTTGTTCCTCCTGTGTTGGACCTATACTCTTATATTCTTACTGAGAGTGGCCGTTTTATTCTTCCTATGTATCTCTCCGCATTCACATGGCATCTGGTATACATAATCCTTAGTATTCTGGCTTTTGTTAATAAGTTGTGTCTTTGTGACTATACTGCAAAGTATGACGTTTCACAAAAATATAGTTTCGACTTGGTATCGTCTTCCTGCTCTTCTGATTGCACCACTCATTCCTTTAACATATGGTAAAAGTAGTATATGCTGGGGTTCATTCCGTGTCTTTCTCCTGTTATTGGGGTCGTTTTCCTCCAGAAACTTCATTTTTCATACGTCTTGGGTAGCAATTTCTTATTAGATCTTTGATGCTGTTGATTTCTTCCTGAAGATTTGTTTGCGTGTTGCAGATGCTCTTTGCCTGGCTTATGAGGGTTCTAATAACTTGTTTCCGTAGTTGCTGGATGACTGGAAAAGACATTCAAGGTATTGTCCTGTATGTGTTGGTTTTCTGTGTACAGTAGTTTCTGTCCTGGAATTAGCCTTTGTTCAGGTGTTCGGAGAAGGGCTGTAGTTTATCTTCTTCATTGCTCCAGGTTGCAAAAGTGTCATCCGCGTATCGAGGCAAATCTTCGGCTTAACATTGAAGCTTTTAATAGCGATTGACTCAGCCATTCCATGTACATGTTTTCTTCACTATCACGCGTAAGTATGGAAAATGTAATATTCTCGGATAATTTATGATACCTTCATCATGAAAATGCAAGTCAATCACTATCATCAGTGTGTCAGTTGAACATGTTGTCACTGCGTAGCCTCAGCAACCGTCGCCACGATTGTAATGGAAATGGAGTGACGCGATAAACCATCATTATCTTCCATTGAGATCGCTGCAACTGTCGGTTAAATTACTCAGTAACAAAATCACCAATAGACAGACTGTCGGGAGTGGGTGACGTGATTTTCATAACGAAAACGTCACACATTATCAAAAAACATTACATTTTCCATACTTTCACGCAGTAAAAATGGAATTACCTTAAAATTGTAATCTTCATTATAGATAATAATGAAATACTGTTGTATGTGTATTACATGGAACATGAACAATGTCGGTAGCGAAGGAAGTACATCGGGCGACTGCTTTGATATGAATTTTCAACTTTCCCTTTTTATACTTCTATGATCAAGGTGTCGGAGAAAACAGAAAACACCTTTTTTGTATTTATTTAATAAATTTAATACTTTAAATCAGTAACGTTTTATATTCTTAGATTATTAGCATAGCCATTATTAGCAGAAATATCATTACATGAACCTTTACCCGTTATTCTCTCATAATTTGTAGACTATACGACACATTTTTATTCGAGCAAAATGATGAAGAATTTAATTTCCCAAAAAAAATTCTGTTACATTTTTATATAGAACCGATAACTTTCGAGATTTTCGATCAAACTTATTTATCATTCGAAAGCAACCTAACGCTACAACAAACAAAAAATTACTGTTGTCCAAACTGTAGGATTTCCTTATACAACATCTTAATATTTCTTGGCCTTTAATTGCAAAGTCTAAGGAATGCATAGAGCATATTCAGTGTTTTATTTCTTTTCACAAACCTCCTAAAGAGACTGCATTAAGACAATGAACACCACGATTATACATTCTTATGTAATAAGTCGGAAATGTAGAAGATATTACTTATAATTCAAGCTTGTCTTCGGTGTAAGTTTGTGTAAGACAAGTGAAAGAAGCCTGCTAGGCTCACATTAACTAAAAATAGATATTAAAAATATATTTCGTTAATTATTATCTAATGTAAAAGAACGTGACCCTAAGGCCCAAATAAGACTTGAAGAGTTCTATTTAGAGAAAGGCTGTCCGACTGTTTCTTCGAGCTCTTCTCCTAGCTCTGCTTGCGTGACTGCTCTATTATATGAAAGAGAACAATAGTTTTAAAGGAAAGGCTAAATATTTTAACATTTCTTATCCCCACCAAGTTCATGGGTAGAATTGCGAATAATCAAACATGCACAACTGCACGTCACCTGGAATAAACATGACGAAAAACATACTGACCACATATTTTCAATTAACCCGCCGCCCTGTGAGAAAAAACTTGAAGGGAAGTATGGTTATTACAATGTCGACCGTTTAAATCATGATTTCGAGGCAATTTCATAAAAGCTCTTTTATTGTGGTTTCTCCTGCCTGCTGGATGGAACGCGTCAGACTATTTATTATTATAATCCTATGGTCCCGTGAAAAATTGATTGGTAGTACTCAGATGAATGAGTTGGATGGCTTTGAAGTTATAATTGGTCATACTGAATCAAGTCTTAGTACTTCTAAGCTAATTCATTTCTTATGCATACCTACCGACATCCTAGCGTTGTAGTTTACTACGAATAGTTCCATTAGGAAAGAAGAGGAGGTTCTCCACTTAAGTGCTTTTGAGGACGCATGCTGTAAACGTTAAGAAATTAGTATTTTTGAATTCTTCATATATAGAAAAAAATAACTGATATCTCCGAGCTTAAGAGTGAATGTAAAAAATGCAGTCTCAACCAATTTTTAAAAACGAGCAAAAGCAGAGACGTATGGTACATTTTGTAACCTTTTGTCTTTCGTGTGAAATTCCATTGATGTTGTACTGACTTTCAAAGCTTACAAAGCCTTTTCGTTCTTGGCATTGGTATTTGTAATATTGTCTCAAAATTTGTTACTTCCAGAGTTATACAGGAAAAAATGATTTACAAGTTTTTCAATAGTACATTAAGTGCCTAGATTAACACTATCACTATACTTGATTTTATTCGATCATGGTATCCTCATCCATTAACGTTATACAGGGTGTTTCAGAAATACGTGCCAACATTTCTAGGGTGGAAAGTGCAACCAAAAATAACAAAAAAACTTCCTTTATATATGGGTCTAAAGATGCCCTCGTTTTATTTACGAAATTGAAAAAAATTATATATATATATATATATATATATATGTGACGTGA